GACAGTCAGAAGTTAAGAAACAGTGTTTAGGACAGTCAAGAGCTAGCAAACGTTGTTTAGGACAGTAAAGAGTTAGCGTATGCTGCTGATGACACTCAAGAGTTAGTGTGTGCTGTTGAAGGACAGTCAACAGTTAGAGTGTGCTGTTAAGGACACTCAGGAGTTAGTGTGTGCTGTTGAGGACAGTCAAGAGTTAGCATGTGCTGTTGGAGGACAGTCAAGAGTTAGTGTGTGCTGTTGAAGGACAGTCAAGAGTTAGCATGTGCTGTTGTAGACAGTCAAGAGTTAGCATGTGCTGTTGTGGACAGTCAAGAGTTAGCATTTGCTGTTGTGGACAGTCAAGAGTTAGCATGTGCTGTTGAGGACAGTCAAGAGTTAGCATGTGCTGTTGTGGACAGTCGAGAGTTGGCGTGTGCTGTTGTGGACAGTCAAGAGTTAGCATTTGCTGTTGTGGACAGTCAAGAGTTAGCACGTGCTGTTGAGGACAGTCAAGGGTTAGTGTGTGCTGTTGAGGACAGTCAAGAGTTAGCATGTGCTGTTGAGGACAGTCAAGAGTTAGCACGTGCTGTTGAGGACAGTCAAGAGTTAGCATGTGCTGTTGAGGACAGTCAAGAGTTAGCATGTGCTGTTGAGGACAGTCAAGAGTTAGCACGTGCTGTTGAGGACAGTCAAGAGTTAGCATGTGCTGTTGTGGACAGTCAAGAGTTAGCATGTGCTGTTGTGGACAGTGAAGGGTTAGCATGTGCTGTTGAGGACAGTCAAGAGTTAGCATGTGCTGTTGTGGACAGTGAAGGGTTAGCATGTGCTGTTGAGGACAGTCAAGGGTTAGTGTGTGCTGCTGAGGACAGTCAAGAGTTAGCATGTGCTGTTGTGGACAGTCAAGAGTTAGCATGTGCTGTTGAGGACAGTCAAGGGTTAGTGTGTGCTGTTGAGGACAGTCAAGGGTTAGTGTGTGCTGTTGTGGACAGTCAAGAGTTAGCATGTGCTGTTGTGGACAGTCAAGAGTTAGCATGTGCTGTTGAGGACAGTCAAGAGTTAGCATGTGCTGTTGAGGACAGTCAAGAGTTAGCATGTGCTGTTGAGGACAGTGAAGGGTTAGTGTGTGCTGTTGTGGACAGTGAAGGGTTAGCATGTGCTGTTGAGGACAGTCAAGAGTTAGCATGTGCTGTTGTGGACAGTGAAGGGTTAGCATGTGCTGTTGAGGACAGTGAAGGGTTAGTGTGTGCTGTTGTGGACAGTGAAGGGTTAGCATGTGCTGTTGAGGACAGTGAAGGGTTAGTGTGTGCTGTTGAGGACAGTGAAGGGTTAGTGTGTGCTGTTGTGGACAGTCAAGGGTTAGTGTGTGCTGTTGAGGACAGTCAAGGGTTAGTGTGTGCTGTTGAGGACAGTCAAGGGTTAGTGTGTGCTGTTGAGGACAGTCAAGGGTTAGTGTGTGCTGTTGAGGACAGTCAAGGGTTAGTGTGTGCTGTTGAGGACAGTCAAGAGTTAGCATGTGCTGTTGAGGACAGTCAAGAGTTAGTGTGTGCTGTTGAGGACAGTCAAGGGTTAGTGTGTGCTGTTGAGGACAGTCAAGAGTTAGCATGTGCTGTTGAGGACAGTCAAGAGTTAGTGTGTGCTGTTGAGGACAGTCAAGGGTTAGTGTGTGCTGTTGAGGACAGTCAAGGGTTAGTGTGTGCTGTTGAGGACAGTCAAGGGTTAGTGTGTGCTGTTGAGGACAGTCAAGGGTTAGTGTGTGCTGTTGAGGACAGTCAAGGGTTAGTGTGTGCTGTTGAGGACAGTCAAGGGTTAGCATGTGCTGTTGAGGACAGTCAAGAGTTAGTGTGTGCTGTTGAGGACAGTCAAGGGTTAGTGTGTGCTGTTGAGGACAGTCAAGAGTTAGCATGTGCTGTTGAGGACAGTCAAGAGTTAGTGTGTGCTGTTGAGGACAGTCAAGGGTTAGTGTGTGCTGTTGAGGACAGTCAAGAGTTAGCATGTGCTGTTGAGGACAGTCAAGAGTTAGTGTGTGCTGTTGAGGACAGTCAAGGGTTAGTGTGTGCTGTTGAGGACAGTCAAGAGTTAGCATGTGCTGTTGAGGACAGTCAAGGGTTAGTGTGTGCTGTTGTGGACAGTCAAGGGTTAGTGTGTGCTGTTGTGGACAGTCAAGAGTTAGTGTGTGCTGTTGAGGACAGTCAAGGGTTAGTGTGTGCTGTTGAGGACAGTCAAGGGTTAGTGTGTGCTGTTGAGGACAGTCAAGAGTTAGCATGTGCTGTTGAGGACAGTCAAGGGTTAGTGTGTGCTATTGAGGACAGTCAAGGGTTAGTGTGTGCTGTTGAGGACAGTCAAGGGTTAGTGTGTGCTGTTGAGGACAGTCAAGAGTTAGCATGTGCTGTTGAGGACAGTCAAGAGTTAGTGTGTGCTGTTGAGGACAGTCAAGGGTTAGTGTGTGCTGTTGAGGACAGTCAAGGGTTAGTGTGTGCTGTTGTGGACAGTCAAGGGTTAGTGTGTGCTGTCGAGTCAAGAACTATCGAGCTCTGTCTAGGACAGGTCCACAGCTAACAAGCGCTGTTTGTGACATTCATTCATTTGATGCTGTGCCTTTATTTGTCACATTGGACTCGTCGTCTACTCCTCCACTCTGTACTATCCTGTGCGATCGCTTCAATATCATGAATGGAATCTAGTCCAGCATCCTTGACCTCTCTCACTAACCTTCCTCTAAGGATTTCTTGTGGGTGTCCTCGCCCCTTTAATCCTTTCATTTCCCATTTTAATGTCCGTTTGGTGAACGTCTGCTGGTTTCTTCTCATGATGTGTCCAATATTTCGACATGTTCTCTGACTGTTGATACTAGTGGTTGCCCAGACAACGGAATCAGTAGAGAAAGAAGATTATTATGGCCTGGGGAGAATGAGGCACCTGGGTGTAACTAGAGGGTCTGGCCCACTACACTCAAAGGAAAGGCAAGACGGACTTTTAGCCAGATTTTGACCGGTACCATCAGTATTGGAACTCTGCGCCGGCTGCTGAAGATGAGGACGGAGCATGCATGAGAATGCCCCGAGTGCTGTGATGTCAATTCTTGACTCAACTCAACATTTCTCTTATTTCTTTCTAAATTTATCCCATTTAAGTTGTCATTTTTCTCAGACATCTGTTTTTGAATGATGTTTGGGAAAGTGAAGTGTTAAATCCCTCGGTCACCAGAAGTATTAAATCATAACCTCGCGACCCTAAACCCGGAAGTGGTCCCGGTGACCCCGCCCCCAGACCAGCTAACTCTGACCTCGGCACTACTCGGCAGACGAACAGTTTCTCAGCTCCTGGCTCCAAGTTCCATCAAACATGGTAAATATTGTTAGTGTCGCAGTATATGAGCCATAGTTTAGCTTACATCGGTGTTTTATTTATCAAAGCATCAAAACGGTCTGTCTGATGTCTCCCGTATGTTTATAGGATCAGTTATTTCCGTGTTTCCTGGCCGTGTCCCGCTGCTGTAGTGTAGGGATGGGCCAGCCCGCTAGCCCACCTCTTGTCTTGTCCTACATCCACAATAATACAGTGACGATATTATACGATGTAGAGACACCAGCAGTCCATACTTTGCTCTAATTTACAATCAGCTTTCGAATGTAACTATCAGACATAGAAAACTGTCGTTTAACTGGGGCTGTAAGTTTGTTTGTTTTAATTTAATCATCAACCTATTTGAAAAATAATGGCTGGAGGAAACGGTGAGTCATGGCTCAGTTATGGCCTGCCCGACCGGAGACAAGTTATCATTACCTTATATAGCAGCTGTCGGTTGTTGGGAGAGGATTTCTCGCTACTGCTGTAGAAGGAAATTGATACTTTGTTTTATTGCCGTCTGGCGGATTTCATTGAACCCTTATATTTATATCATGGTCAGTCATTTACTAAATAAATATCAACGACAGTTGAATATGTTGTGAGATGATTTAGAATGTTTAAAATTATTAATAACACTGTTGAGGTATATTTGCAGTTTTAAACATGAAGTTACACCACTGAAACTAAGCAGTGGGTTATTTTTGTTTTAAATTGTTTACCGCTGCCAGATGCATATATAGGATTAATTGATTTTCATCAACATTAGAGACATTGATAAGAGGTGGTGCCACCTAGGGGATTTATTGTGTGGACCTGAGTTATGGGTCAATAGAGGTGTGTGGTTGGCTAGTTTAATATGTGGTGTATTGTTTTCGTCTAATGATGTGAGGTGTTGGTCTTGTCAAATGATGTGGGGAATGGGTCCAAATTTGCATCCAGCCAAAATTTTTTTTTTTTTTTTAGATATCTAGACTCCCAGGTCAATCCAACCTAAAATTGGTGCCATGCAAAAGTGAAGGCGGCTGATGTCATGTTAACCACATCACTCGCGGATTGTTGTTTGCGAAATCACTTGGAGTTGTAAAGAGTTAATGTAGCCAGGATATTGTATGACAGGTTAGGAATGTAAACATCTGGGGTCACTGGAAGAGAGTTCAGCATCCGCTAATGGGAAAAACATGAGCCGTTTGATATTCACAGATGAATGCGAACATCCTGAGTTGTTTGGGGAATGTGAGATCCCCTGTGTGGCTGACCGCTGTTGGCGGGAGTGAGGTGTACTTAAGTCAGTTGCTTTCATTTGGTCTTAGTGTGTGGACATGTGTGTGCGAATTGTTGAAGTCCTGGGCACGTGTCGGCTTCGTGTGACAGTTCTAACAATGTGGTTTTATTCTATGCAGCTCGTCTGAACTGTCTGAATGTGGTGGATCATGATTGGACTTTGGAATTATGTCAGTGTGATTTCTAGAATGGACTTGTGTCGTGCATGTGTTTAAGGGTTTGGATGGTTACGGCTGTGGCACGTTGGTTGACAGGTATCCTTAAGTGCACAGAAGGTGCTGGGCAACTTTTTGTCTTGACCAATGTGGAATTGTGATGGGGATCCGAGGCTGATTAACGGGATGTTAATCAGTGATACTTCATTGAGTTGCTGGGGTAGCAATAAGGGGTGTATTTTCCTGGAGTCCTCAGGTGGAAGGGTCTTTTAGAGGAAGAACTGTCAAATGATTGCCACTGCACATCACATAGGTGTTTCTGCATGCTCGAGTGTGAGTCACCCATGGCATGCACCTGGTACCGAGTTCGTTAGGGTGAATTGTCTATGTTTGGGGAGATTACCGATGTGAGTATGTGAAAGGCAGTAGTAGACTTGACAGTGACTCATTGATCACCAGTTCCTCTTCGTTGCAATGTAACCATCCATAATAAAGAGACTGATGGTACTACAAGATCACACTTAACCTGGTGTAGAAGATTACAGTATGTTGGTGGTTACGATAGGTCATGTTAGCTGGTTATATGTGCCTGGCATGTAGTGATGCTCTTGTTTTGGTTGACCCTCCTTTATTAAGTTAAAATCACCATCAGCATGTGCCGTGCTAATGAAAATTGGCAGCCGTGGTTGGTGGACAGAGAAATTCAGTGTGTAGGTGTGGAGGACTTACATTTATAAACACAATTTCCCAGACACTTGGCCAGCGTGCAGTGCATCCCCCGACCACACAAGTCACCAACTGGCTTATAAAAGAATGAGTCTAGCGTCTTATTCCTTCTGTGTGATTGGCATTAAAAAAAGGGTCCTTTACTTTCCTTTTCTTTTTCCTGTAAAGATCACAACTTCACAACACAAAGGCAGTATCTTCCCTGGGATTACTTGAAACAGATTATGTGGTAGGTGTTACTTATTCTTGAAGTCAAAACAAATGGACTGAGGAGATAAGTACTGCCAAAAACAATTTTAAGACGAACGATAAAAATGCTGAAAGGTGCTGAACTGAATTCCATCCATGATATTGAAACAGTGGCACAAGATAGAACTGGGTGTTCCCATGTGAGTTTTAGGCCCCATTTGACCCACTGCCCTTCTTACGAGCATGTCAGGAAAAGGTGACTAATTAGGGATGCTTCCTTCAAAGTCGGAAGGCATCTGCCTGAGAGATGAGGAACCATTAGTCTGCATACAGATAAACCAGATATGTAAAACACATTTTGCATGTAAAACTCAAGTTCTAGATTAAGACTAGCATCCAGAAGTGGATGAACAACCAGAACTTTCCTCCAGAGTTCACAGCTGGTGAATACTAAGAAGAAGAAGCAGAACGAGGTGGAAAAATAAACTTTGTGACATAAAACAGCTCAACAGGAACATGATGATGCTGTTCTTTATTGTTTTTGTTATTTTGCAAATTCAGTCGAAACACACAGAAGATGACATCGCAGAGTTCCAGGAGACGTTTCATTTATTTGACACTCGAGGAGACGGGAAAATTGCTGCCAATCAGTTGCCAGACGTTTTAAGGGCTCTGGGCCAAAACCCTACAGAGCAAGAAATCAGAAAATGTGGATTTTCTCAGAACCCAGGTAGAAATATTTATTTTTGCAGAAAAAAGTTCACCTATTAAACCATCTAGAAACATTTATCTTTGATGTTGAACAGTTAAAACATCTAGGAACATTTATCTTTGCAGTGTAACAGTTGGACTGTTAAACCATCTAGGAACGTTTATTTTTACTGTCTTACAGTTAAACTATCTAGGGACATTTATCTTTGCTATCTAAAAGTTTACTTGTTAAACCATCTAGGTACATTTATCTTTGCTCTCTAACTGTTGAACTGTTAAACCATTTAAGGGCCCCTATCTTTGCTCTTTAAGTACTTCCCTGTTAGACCTTTTCAGAGCATTTATCTTTGCCTTTTACGTATTTACCTGTTAAACCATTCAAGAGCATTTATCTTTGCGATTTAATTATTTATCTGTTAAACCATTCAAGAGCATTTCTCTTGGCTCTTTATGTATTGCCCTGTTAAACCATTTAAGAACTTTTGTCTTGGCTCTTTATGTATTGCCCTGTTAAACCATTTAAGAGCTTTTGTCTTGGCTCTTTAAGTATTTCCCTGTTGAACCATTTAAGAGCTTTTGTCTTGGCTCTTTAAGTATTTCCCTGTTGAACCATTTAAGAGCTTTTGTCTTGGCTCTTTAAGTATTTCCCTGTTAAACCGTTTAAGAGCATTTGTCTTGGCTGTCTAGTTTTACCCTTTCACAAACACTCATCACTGTTATATGTTTACCTCTTAAAGGACATTTGTCTTTGTTCAGTATGTGCCCATCTCTATAGACTGAAACAGCGTAATATGTTTATGTAAGTAACCTGATTCATTTAGATTGATTATAAAATAACTTGATTTCATTATGCAAATTGTTAAAACAGCTTAGTCTTTACGAACTGTACAGTTTTCTTCTCACCCACAGCCATATATTGCTCAAACATTAGTTAATGATTATATACGATTATATATTCTGCTGTGTTGATTTATCATATTATGCTGCTCTATCATGCTTTGCCAATAGAGGTCCTGTTATCAATATGAAGTATGCTTATACACGTATATGTAACATTCTTTTTGCAGATGCCCGTATGTCCTTCGAGACATTTTTCCCTATCCTGCAGACCATCAGCAAAAACCGTGTCCTGCCGACTCTAGAAGACTTTGTTGAAGGATTCCGGGTCTTTGACAAGGACCAGAATGGTCTCATTGGGAGTGCAGATCTCAGACATGTCCTGACCTCCTTAGGTACGTCCTTGTCCTACAACAGCACACATGTGCTTTACCTTGAGGACTTCAGGTGCCTTTATCTGTCCTCCCATGGAGTAGTTTTTAACTGTCAAGAAATATTTCCACAAATGGTCGAGGGGCAAAGATTCGGTGGTAACGAGGGTTCTGTTTGCAGCTTGGGAAGTTTTATTGTTGCTTTCCACCCTTTTAATTACCATAGAAACCAGCAAATATTAGCACTATAACCTTACAAACATGGTATAAGGGGCACATCAGGAGGTTTGGTCAATCTTGTCAACTGCAGATTGAAAAACTGAGTGGGATAATATTCAAAATAATGACTTTCTCAACCAGTTTAAGGTACCAGGCCAGAGTTCCTTTCCATATGTCCTATTAGATGACAAATGACAGTGTGATTATCCTTCTCCTTCCTGTTGTTCATGGTTTTCCATTGTGATGTATCCTGCAAATTACACACATGGCATACTTTGAGATTGAGTCACATCAGATCATCACTGCTCATGTGGAGTCACATCAGATCATCACTTCTTGTGTGGAGTCACATCAGATCATCTCTGCTCATGTGGAGTCACATCAGATCATCACTCCTCATGTGGAGTCACATCAGATCATCACTCCTCATGTGGAGTCACATCAGATCATCACTTTACACAGACTCCTCATGTGGAGTCACATCAGATCATCACTTTACACAGACTCCTCATGTGGAGTCACATCAGATCATCACTTTACACAGACTCCTCATGTGGAGTCACATCAGATCATCCTTTCTCATACAGACTCCTCATGTGGAGTCACAGCAACAGCTTTTCTAGAGGGTAAACAAACAAAAGAAACAACTCCTCAGTATGATGGTAAATGTTTAGCACACCAGTCTTCCACTGACTGAGACCTTGTGTATGATCACAGCGAATGTACACCTGTCTACTTGCATGGAGACCAGACCATCAGCAGTGCCCACATTCTTCATGCTGTCTGTGAGACCAGCTCTAACCCAGAGGCACTGTACAAGTCTCAGTAGCCATGAATCTGGTCTTGTTCAGCTATGTGATCTGGGAAAAAAGGGGGGGGGGGTTGCCATGACCCACCAGTCCTCTCTGCCATCTGTTTAATTTTATTGTTGTAGCTTTTATTATTGTTGTCAAGCTGTCTGAGCTTCCCATGCATGATTTTTGTGTCTTTGTTTATCTTAAATAAAGAGGGAAACCCTTGAGCCTGTAGAAACATTTTATATAATCAACAAAAGAAAACGTTTTGATCAGCATTTGTACTTTCTACATCTTGCCTAGCTTGTTTCTCTATCCCAGGTCTGGTCTGCTATTGTTTCCTGTGCATGTAGTACTTTAGAATCTGGTCAGAACAATTCTCGCACATATCCTGTAACATTTCTCTTCCTCTGTCTATCCACAAACCTGCATTGGGTCTGAGGACATGAATACAGTCTATGTTGTTTCACCTGTCACAGGTGAGAAGATGAATGATGATGAGGTCAGCGAGCTGCTGGTTGGTCAAGAGGATGGTCAGGGTAATGTCCAGTATGAAGGTATATTTGTTTATACTAGTGTTAGAAGCTTGTTTGTTTGTGTCTGTGTGTGTGTGTGTCTCTCTCTCTCACTCTCTCTCTCTCTCTCTCTCTCTCTCTCTCTCTCTCTCTCTATTGCTCTACTACTTGTTATCTTCTCTTCACATCTTTCTGATTCTCTCTTTCCATCCTCTCTTGTTAAGCTGAAAAGGAATGCAGAGAGTAGGACACATGTGAAGGACATGTTCAGATTACTCTAATCCAACTTCTCTAATGACAGACTTAACCAATGACTCTAATGCCAGACTTAGCTGATGAATCCAGTTTCAGGTTTAACAGATAACTCCAGTGTCAGACTTAATAGATAACTCCAGTATCAGACTTAACAGATCACTAATGCCAGACTTAACAGATAACTCCAGTGTCAGACTCATGAGGATAACTCCAATGACAGACTTAACAGATCACTCTAGTGTTAGACTTAACACATGACTTCAGTGTCAGACTTAACAGATCACTATAGTATCATACTTAACAGATCACTCCAGTATCAAACTTGACAAATCACTTCAGTATCAGACTTAACAGATCACTCTAGTATCAGACTTAACAGATGACTCCAGTATCAGACCTAACAGATGGCTCCAGTATCAGACTTAACAGATCACTAATGTCAGACTTAACAGATCACTCTAGTATCAGACTTAACATATCACTCTAGTATCAAACTTAACAGATCACTAATGTTAGACTGAACAGATCACTCTAGTATCAGACTTAACAGATCACTCTAGTATCAGACTTAACAGATCACTTTAGTATCAGACTTAACAGACCACTAATGTCAGACTTAACAGATCACTCTAGTATCAGACTTAACAGATCACTCTAGTATCAGACTTAACAGATCACTCTAGTATCTCACTTAACAGATGACCAGTGTCAGATTTGATAGATAACTCAACACCATGCTTAACACTTATTCACCTGTTGATGATAGTGATCTGTTTTTAGTAAATATGTGTTTTAAAGTCATATCTACATAATTATTTGGTTATTATTCTCCGCAGAGTTTATCAAGATGGTGATGAATGGATAATTGTGGCACTGAACATGACAAGTTCACGTCTGATCTGAATCGAGTTGACACATTTTGTCCAGATATTTTTCCTCACTGAATGTAAACTGTATCTTATGCTCTTATATAACTATATGCAGCACTTGGCATGCTTTTGATAGACAACATACGCAGATGGACAAGGAAATATGTGTGCCTGTTGATTCATTAAGATGTGGGGTTAGGAACTTTTTTTTTTTCTAAGTTTAGTTTGGAAATTTGTAACAATTTTTGTGGACCATAAAGATTAGCCTGCTATATTTGGTCAAACATTTGATCGAGTCAGGGCCAGACCAGCTGTCTTAAATGGGGCCTCTCAAGACCCGCAGGCTGGACGTTCCCCAAAGTGAGCAGATGGACCATTTCATCTGAAGAGGGTAACACGCGAATTTACCATCACAGTTGTGCTGTTTGGTTTTTTAAGGTTGCTCAGTGAACTTAATTCAACAAGAAACATATTTAAAATTCAGACTGTATTTGTATGATCTCGCCGAGTTGAAAATAAAAATTGAAAGACTACACAAATCATAATACTTATTAGTAACAAATGAAACAGTCGTGCTATATTGAAACATTCCTGATCTTTTAACAGTTCTATAGACAAGCACTGGGAGCTTGAATGTTTATCAAGAATATCAACAAAAAAAGGTATTTGGACTGAATATCCACAGAATAAAAACAAGAACCTATTCAGTAGTAAAAACAGAAATATTGTAGATATGAGTTAATTTTGGTCTGTCACATTGTGGGTTGGTCTGTCACATTGTGAGGTGGTCTGTCACATTGTGAGGTGGTCTGCCACATTGTGGGTTGGTCTGCCACATTGTGTGTTGGTCTGCCACATTGTGAGTTGGTCTGTCACATTGTGAGTTGGTCTGCCACATTGTGAGTTGATCTGCCACATTGTGAGTTGGTCTGCCACATTGTGAGTTGGTCTGTCACATTGTGGGTTGGTCTGTCACATTGTGGGTTGGGCTGTCACATTGTGGGTTGGGCTGTCACATTGTGAGTTGGTCTGCCACATTGTGAGTTGGTCTGCCACATTGTGGGTTGGGCTGTCACATTGTGGGTTGGTCTGCCACATTGTGGGTTGGTCTGCCACATTGTGTGTTGGTCTGTGTGAAGAGATGCAAATTGTTGGTGCCTTACTCTGCGAAACATCTTGTTTCAGTGATATATACTTTTATTTTGTTTTTGTCTGTTTTTTGTGCATGCCTTCTCTCTCTGTATACATTTATTTATATATCTATACAATATTCTATTTAGATTTGCCCTTTTTTCTTTAACAAATATTGTTTTAGTGATATATTCTTTGACTTAGTCGTGCTATCACTCTGTTTGCATATTTACCCAGATGTGTTAATGATATTGTCTGTACATGGTACAAGTTATAAAGATCTGCTGCTATTTTGGTTTCTTGTCTGTGATGTGTTGATGGGATTGTCTGGTAACTTGTACATGGTACAAGTTATAAAGATCTGCTGCTATTTTGGTTTCTTGTCTGTGATCTGTTAATGGTTATGTCTGGTAACTTGTACATGGTAAAAGTTATAAAGATCTGCTGCTGTGTTGGTTTCTTGTCCTTGATAAGCTCTTGATTACTGGAGCCATGTTGCTAATTTACTTTCAGCCTTTGTTATCTGTATCATCAGTCTGCCTCTTCTGGGGGTGTGGTCAATAGCCTACCAGCTGCCTTTACTTCCCACACTTCCTGATACCTATTTCAAGACTTGGAGCCCAGAGGATTTGTTTATTTAAATCCTCACCTAGAAAAGGGTTTGAACATGACCAAAGGGGCCACCAAGCAAATGCTCCCTCACGCTGGCTTCTGTTAATGTTTGAGTTTAGTTGTCTTCCAAGGTCTGTCAGATTGTTGCGTAAATTTATTTGTTCAGTTTTTTTAGATTACTCTTGTCTTCCTCAAACAAATGAGTCAGTTTTTTAAGATATAAAATTGTTTTGTTACATTATCTAACAGAGGCATTCCAGATTTTTAAATCATATTTAATATACACTTGTAGTATATGCAAATGGTCCAACATTGAGATTTGTTTTGTTTCTTCAGTCAAGGTTTTGTCAAATTTCATCAGCTATATTTTAGCTTTGATATAGTCGTGTTTGCTGTTGGCATTTCTTGCCATGTCATTTTATGTTCAAAATTTTGTCATTGTCTCCCTGTCTCACTTCTCATTTTTGCACTCATACTTGATGATTGACATAAACAGCTAGTTCTGAGACCATCATTGAGAGTGGTGTTTTCATTTTGTATGTTGATGTTTGTTGTCGTATCTTGTTATGTATGTCTCAATTTGTACTGCAGATATATGTTCTGTAAGCTTTACCCGAACATATGTTTATGATCTTTTGTAGTATGGGTAATAATCACAAGAGTCACCCCATCTCATTCACGTGCAAGATTTAATGCCGGTTCCCATTCATTTTGTGCCAGTTCCCAGGGCCTGTCCAATGTTGTGTGTGTGGGCCTTACAACACGGCTTGCTTCGCCATGTGTACACACCATGTTGAAAAGTTGCTGCCGCACGTTTGTTTTTGCAACTGTTTTTTGTGAACGGTAGGTCTCAGGTGCCTGCATACAGCGAAGAAGTACTGCAGAGGGAAGCGCCGAAGGCGTGACACTTCATAAGTATCAAATCATTTATGTTTTTATATTGTTACGCTCGTTGGCGATGGCTATTATCGCTGTTGGATCTGCTTGAAATGGTCAAAATGAGAAACGCATGACACTCCTAGACTTTAGGAATGTCCCTGGAAATCTCCTACAAAATCATGCGGTCAAAGAGATAGGGAGACTTTTGTGATTTGTACCGTAGTATGCCTATTGTTATGTTTCATAACCTTTACATGTAGATACAAAGTCAGTAATGGACCCTATCTATGATATTGGCACATGAGGATACTCACATTTGTATAAACCAGTCAGCCCTGAGTGGGTGATGTAGTTGACATCATGCTGGTCACCTTTACTTCCCATGACTTTACCGGGAACCTACTATTTTAGGTTGGGTTGACCCAGAAGACAAGTATGTAAAGTGAGTGCCTACACTGTTACTGTCTCTTTGGATCACTGAGACTACACTCCTGAGCCTGGTCCATTAGCGTTCAGGTCACCAAATATCCAGGAAAAGCTACATAAGATTGAAATAGACTTCCCTTCTACCCAGTGCCAGCAACTTGTGCACTCCGTCTTCAAACTTGCATGTCAGAAAAGCACAAGACATGTTGGAACTTCATAAGCAGTTTTGATGTGTACTCTTAAATATTTGCAATGTTCATTCTATACTGTCACTTGTTGTTCGCTCACCAATCTTCACCGTCATTTCTGCCCTAACCTTTGCTTGTTTGTCTAGGTCGCTTAGTTTTCTTATGTTAATGATTGTATTGCTGTCTTTGGTTTTTTGCTGATCGTTTCTTTGTTTAGATATACAACCAGTGGTCGATGGTCAGTATTTGATGTGATGTTTGGAATTACTCTGGTGTCTTTTACCAATTTTCTCCTCTTTTGTCAATTCAGTATGAAGTCCCAACTGTGTGGCCTGTTCTGGATTGTCCCATTTTTACCAAGGTGTAATCTGGCTCTTGCGATGCTTATAGAAACTGTTGGTAATATAAAGCCCATGCTCTGCACATAGTTCCAAGATACACTGCCCATGTGCTCTTCTGTTTGCCTGAAATCCAGGTTATATGGCCAAACCATTTCATCTGTTTCTTTCTAATGAAATCCAGAGCTGTTGCTACCCCATTTCTCCTTCGGATTTTATCATTGCTGATCCTATCTCTTATTGTTATATTGAGAGCCCTTCCTAGGAATCTCATTTCAGTTGTAATTTTTCTTTTCCCTTTTTCTGTCATTGTCTAAGTCTCCCCTTGGTAGAGCAGGTTTGGCAGAAAGATTATATCACAAAGTGCTCTTTTAGTTTTTATTGATACAAGTTTAGTATTGGTGCTCCCCAATGAGTTGATTTGCTCTATTACATCTGTCATCAATCTCATCTTCTGTTTAGCCAGTTAATGATCTTGTGCTTCCTAAGTATTTGCAGGTCTTGGTTTGTTTCAGAAGGTTTTCTGTAAGCTGGATATTTATTGTTTTGGCTATTGACATAACCTCTGTTTTGTTGGCATTAATTTTCATGTTATGCTGCTGGCAAATTTGGTTTCAATAATTTATGTGGTCTTGCATTTCAGTTTCTGAATTAGTAATCAGTGCTTGGTCGTCGGCAAATAGTAGTTCTTCGATGGAGATGTTTGGCTTTGTGTCTTCATCTCCTTAGTATATCATAGTCCTTGTTTGGTTGGTGTCTTTACAGATGTTATCAGTGTGAGTTAGAAAGAAAAGGGGAGACAGGACACAGCCCTGTCGTACTCCAGATTGTATGGCAAATGGTTCTGTCCTCCATGTGTTCTAACAGTACATTCACTGTTGTAATACAAGCTTTTACATGTGTTTATTGAATGTGTGCTCACACCATAACAAGTGCTCTAGGAGCATGGCGTCCGCCTCGAGTGCTAGAGGTCCCGGGTGAATGTTAGGATTTTTTTCACGTGGACTTCTAGTAATTTCCCTGGTCTCTGGGTAGTGAGATCGGACGTCCGTGAATATTGTTGCGCACACACAAAAATCCCTTGGCAGTTGGAAATCAAAAAGAGTAACCTAACGACGCTGCCCTGGCATAATTTTAATTTTAAAATTCACTTAAAGTATTTTAGGATCCTCACCAGTGCTACAGAGTTCATGCACAGCGCTGAGATTCTTTGGACAAAGCACTTATGGGTAACTACCCTTGTGCCAGATGTTGATACAGTGACTAAACCTAAGCCTAAACACTATAACCTTCCAAGATTCTCCATACAGTAGTTTGTTCCTATCTACTCTGTCTAATGCCTTTTCTTGATCATCATAATCATGTAGCAGATCCTTTGCAGAAAGTCCCTCTCATCACGGTCTGCCTTAAAGTAATTCAGTC